CAGGGGACGAAACAAGGCAAAATCGCCTGTTCCAGAAAACGCCCTGGGCCCTGAGACTGTCCCCCAGGCGGCCCCTGCCACCTCGGCGGCCAGGGCCTCCACGGCGGCAGCCTTACTGCTGTCCCCGCCGCGGAGGCGCTGCAGCAGGCCGCGCAGCTCGGCCTTGGCCTCGGTGGTCACCTGCCCGCGGCCCGTGGCCTCGCGGAGCAGCGAGGCCTCGTGGGAGCGAGAGGACGCGACACCACCACCACCAGGGACCAGCAGCGGGAGGAGCCGAGGGGGGCCCCTCTCGTACTCGAAACCTCCCCTTCTCCTCAGCTCGGGGAGGCATCGTGCACCTCCTCGCTGGAGGTGCCCCCCTTTGTGGTGGTGGTGTCGCTTCTGCAACCCCCGACCTTGTGACTGGTGAGGCGCCCGAGGATGCCCTCCAGGATCTTGGCCACCTGTGGGTGGGGGGGGCAAACATGCACACCGATACGGCTGCTCCCAGACCCCCTTTGCGCTGTGAAGAGAACTGCGACGGCTAGCGTGTTGCCAGCTTCGGCCTCCGGGGACCCTCCCCGGGCTCCGGGAAACCGTCGACCAGACGACTTCAATTCCCTCTCAAGCCTGTCTGTTAGCATGTCGAACCCAAATGGAGTTGTGCACGTTTCAACGCAAATCAAAAATACCTCTATAAGGAAGGTGCGTTTGCATCTCTGCGAACACACTTTGCGAAACCACTTCGGCGTAATGGGAAACTCGGGACGGACACCGGTCCCAGGGAAGTGACACCTCACGATGTCCGAATACCCGGGGACACCGCTGCTGCCTCCCACGGACCTCTCACAGGGCGCGCCCTGGCCGCAGGGTCTCGAGGCGAACCCGGCCCTGGCGGCGAGGGCCCTCCCAGACGAGCAGCGGCATCGGCATCGGCAGCGGCCTTCCCCTCCCCCTGGGCCTGTGCCTTCGTCGCGGGAGTGATGTTGGCGTTGCCGCAGCCCGTTCCGTAGCCGAAGGGGCAGGGGTCCCTGGCGGGGGAGTAGCGGCTGGCGCCCACGGCGGGCGCCGTGAGGCCGAGTGCGAGGGCGAAGGCGGCGGCACGGAAGGCCATCGCTGTGACCGGGAGTGCGGGCGGCGGGCTGCAATGTCGGCGGGAGGGCGCTGCGAGTCACGAGTCCGGAGACGACTTGAGCGAAGCAGGCTGCGGATTCGGAAGGGGAGAGGGCACGTGGGCAGGGATGGCGAGGAGGAAAGGGATGCGAGGAAGTTTCGCCATCCCGTGCGCTGCATGCCGACCTTCGTCTGCCTCAACTTTAGCCATCGACAGAGACGAGCGGCATATATAAGCAGGAACTCTCTCGGAGGTCCGCGCGGGTCTCTTGGATGGGCGCTTGAGCCCCTCCCTGGCGCGCGGAGCGCGCTAGGGCGACGCCGGAGACGCCGCCAGGGGGCCCGGCGCTGATCCCAGAAATCTGCGCGGAGCTCCGAACGTAGGTGCCTGTGCAGCCCTTTCCTGTTCGAAGTCAGCAGGCCCTCCCGTCACTGCGACCGGGCACCCAGGGCTACGGAGCAGAGCGCTGGCCGGGGGGCCCGAAGTCCGCCCTGCAGGTGGGACAGGAGGCTCTCAGCTGGACGGCCGAGGAGAAGAGGCAGTCCTCACAGAAGGCGTGGCCGCACCGGAGCACCGCCACGGAGGCGGCAGGCTCCGCGTCCTGCCAGCGCTGCAGGCAAACGGCGCACCCAGCCCCGGCGAAGGGCGCCCTCTGTCCGACGTCCGCCGCCGACGCCTGGGGAAACCAACGGGCACGGAGACCGCTACTCCACGGACCTCTCCCTGGGTGCGTTCTGGCCAGACTCGCAAGGCGAGTGTCCAGCTGTGGCGCCGAGGGCCCCCCAGGAGGCCCGGAAGAGGCGAGCAGCATAGGAGGGCCCAAGCGAGGGAAGAGCGGCGGCATCGGTACCCCTTTCCTCCTCGGAACGCCAGCGTCACCCCGCGCAGCACGGCCGCCAGGTGCTCCAGCGAGGCCTTGCGGCCCTCCTCCAGGGGCCACTGCAGCGGCACCACCGCGCGCGGACGCCGGTGGCTCTGGCGCTCCTCGGCGAGCGCGGCGAGGAAGGCGTGCAGCAGCTGCAGGCGCGGCCCCGGCAGCGACTCGGGGCCCCCCGGGGCCAGCGCCCGGAGCTGCAGCCGCGGGCGGCGGCCCGCAAACCGCAGCTCCAGGCCGGGCGGGCCGCCGCGGGGGGAAGGCAGGCGGCGCAGGCCCCGGAGGTCGAGCAGCGGGAGCGCGAGCGAGCTGGCGTCGCCCGCGAGGGTGCAGCGGAGCAGCAGCGAGCCCGCGCCCGGGCCCGCCGTCACCGAGACCAGGGCGCTGCGCCAGCGGCCGTGCTGCAGGCCGCAGCAGCAGTGCAGCTCCGCGAGGCGGGCGAGGCAGGGATGGACCGTGCGCGCTCGGCAGTGCAGCTCCGGGCTCCCGCCCGAGCCAAAGTCGAGGGAGACAAACTCTGCCGCTCCGCCCATCGCGCGCCCACCCGTTGCTCATTGGACCCGAAACGGCTACGGCTGACGTGAAGGGCCTGGAGAGGGAGCGGGAGCCAGGAGCGAAAGCCATGAGAACAGAACTGGCACGTCGGCAGCCTCGTCCGAGGCAGGCCGTTGGGACAGCTTCGACGCCCGTGGCCTCCCTCGGCCCCCGGCGCCGCTCCCGGGGGCCGAGGAGGGCGCCACCGACGCGCCTGCACACCGATCCCCTGCGCTGGCCAGGCTCGGGCGCGCTCCGAGGGCGGTGGCCAGGCGAATAATCGGAGCCGAATCCGCAACACGAGCCGAAGACACGGGTGGCAGGATGCCACCATTGGCCGAGCCCGCGAGCACGAGCAGGCCAACACATGCCCGTGGGCGGGCGGTCTGAGACAAATCTTTAGCTCTGCAGCACCCTGGAGGCAAGCAGGGCGTTTCTTGGCATGGGTCTCCACTGTATCCCTCCTCCCCTCGCCTCCTCATCCCATGTGGCTTCTGGCCGTATGTCTTGGCACGCCTGAATTGGGAACGTAGGGAACGGGGACGATGCCCGACGACAGAGGTTGTCCAACAGCGACAGTGGTCGCTGTCGGGCAGGCGACAACCGTCCCGAATAAACAACGCTGGCAATGACACTGACTCCGAACCCAGTTCAGTGGACAGCAGCTCGTGTCGTTCTTGGTCCCCGCTCTATGTCCACATTTCAATCCTCCCGACAGTCGGGCCGACAATTGCCTCTCGGGGTGACCCCAGCGCATCCAGAAGGCTCCCGATGAGGCGCAGCCACTGGAGAACAACCCTGGGCACGAATGCTGTCAAAAGCAACTTACCCGAAAGAGTACTCAACCCGTCTGCAACGTGTTGCAAAATTGACGGAAAAGGCCCATCCAAGACAAATGAATGAACATGTGTAAAGGCGTGCTCCACCCATTCATTGCGCGCGCATTGGGGGAAACTGCGTGGGCTGGTGGAGAACCGTCAATGCGGCGTCACCGAAAGAAAAGACATGAAGGCGGGGCGACGGAAGGAAGGGCAATGACGACGAATGGAAGGAAGAGTGGGAGATGGGAGATAGGGATCCCATGCAAAAGTGAAGCTGACAATATGGGCAAGGGCGAGCACTAGCGCAAGAAGGCGACAGAAAGCACCGTAAGTGTGCCGCTTGAGTCCAGGTAAAGCCGCACTCCGCTGAGCCCCCGCAAGCTCACGAAAGTGGCGAAAATCCCACCAGCCCTTTGGGCGACAGGTGGTCTACCGAGGGTCTCCTTCCGCTTCCACAGCCCCTCTTCTCTTCGGGGAGGGGAGCCCTCCCCCTCCTCTCTCTGGGGTGTTGATGGGAAGGGGACCGATGTGTCAGAGGCTCCTTGTTCGGCCCCCCAAGAAGCCCTCCAGGGCTCCCAAGAGGCCCCCAAGAGGGCTCCGAGAGCGCCCCAAGAGGCCCCAAGACGGCTCCAAGAGGCGCCGCCCGAAAGGCAAGGTAGGGAAGGAGGCTAGGAGTGGAGGAGCCGCAAAGGAGACGCTCAGAGGGGACGGAAACGGAAGCCCAGAGGAAGGGCAAGGGAGGGCGAGAAGGCAGAGGGAAACGGGCGGGGAAAGGAATGGGAGGAGGGGGAGCAGGCCCAGACCCCCGACGGCGTGGTTTTTGTTTCACCCGCGGGCCACACGAACTGCTCTCGACCCCTCCCCCAAGGCTGGTTTCTCACACCAGGTAGCTTCTTCGTGGCTCTGGGACTCGGAAAGGAAGGATCAACCAGCAATACAGACATGCGGTTCGCGCGGATTGCCTGGGTCGGCACTACTCTACGAGCCCCTTCCCTGGTGCCGCCGGGAGTCGAGGGTACGGGGGGGCCAGCGCTGACCGAGTAAGTCCGGGCGCGCCTACGAACATGTTTGCGCAGTCACTGTTCGGTCTTCATGCTGGCGCACCCAGGCGTCAACATGTAGCAGACCGGGAGAGGTTGAGGGAAAGTGGAGGGGACGGAGGTCTGGGGAGGTCTGGGGCGAAGAAGGAGCAGAGGAGGAGAGCGACGGAGGGTCGTCCTCCAACTGCCGCCCAGAGTGTGGACGCCGTCGTCGGTCGAGTGCGCCCTCTGCATTCCGTCGTCTGCCCGTCTCGAAGCGCTCCAGTCCCCCCAACTCTCTTTGCGGGCCAGCTTCTTCTCCTCCGGTATACGCCCGTCGGGGGCGCGGCTTCCCACCCCTGCTCATTTCTCCGTGCTATCACCCACACTACCTGGAGTTCCCCCTCTCCTGCATCCTCGTTTCGCATTCCCTACCTGGAGTTTCCCATCTCCTCCTCCTCCTCCTCCTCCATCTCCCCCTGCTCCTGCTCCTCGTTCTCTTCATCCTCACTTCTCGTCCGCCCCCCCCCCCTGCTCCAAAAACGCTTCCTCCACATCATCATCATCATCATCATCATCATCATCATCATCATCAGCAGCAGCAGCAGCAGCAGCAGCAGCAGCATCATTATCATCACTCCATTCTCCACCTTGACTCCCACGTCCTCCTGGCTCATCCCTTTCCCCACCCGCTCTACGCGCATCGCTCTCCCTCTCCAGTCTTTCTATTTCGCCACTCTTGTGCATAATCAACCACTGTTAACCCTTCCGACCTCATCCCCGGTCTCCTCATCCTCCTCTTTTAGAGGAGCAACATAAACTTTCGACGGTCCGCGAGCATTTCTTCGAACTGCGCTGGACCCTATTCCTTCACGCGGAACGCGCCAGGAGCGGTGCCAGAGGCGCCGCCAGGGGGCCCAGCGCAGGTATAGGAGATCCGTGCGGAGCTCAGATAGTTTGTCCTTCTCCGATCTTCGCACCTCTCACACTCATCTTATTATTAGCTCCATCCTCTTCCTCCACACACACACGCACACCAACGCATACCCTCGCACACCCACGCACACGCACGCACCCACGCACGCACGCACGCACGGACGCACACACACACACACGAACACGCACACGCACACGCACACACACACAGACACACACACACACACACTCACACACACACACATATACACGCACGCACGCACGCACGCACGCACGCACGCACGCACGCACGCACGCACGCACATGCACACACATAGACATACATACATACATGCATACATACATACGTACATACGTACATACGTACATACGTACATACGTACATACGTACATACATACATACATGCATGCATGCATGCATGCATACATACATACATACATACATACATACATACATACATACATACATACGTACATACATGCATATACACATATATGCATACCTGTATACATACATATATACACACATGTATAGTTTGGGCGTCGCGGCCACGCGCGCGGCTCACGCGGCGTGGAGAAGCTGCTTGATCCACCCATCAAGGAGCCAAACCACGCTCACAAAGGGGGCAGCCGTGAGAGCACGGACGGGAGGGGGGGAGAGCAACAGAGAACGGGGGGCAAAAAGGGCAATGCGGGGGGGGGCTGTGGGAAAAAAAAACACACTGTGGGGAAAACACACACACACCTGTGGGAAACAAAAACACTGTGGGAAAACAATCACTGGAAAAAAACACTATGTTTTCTCCACAGACTTTTCCCACAATGTGTGTGTGTGTGTTTTGTATGTTTTTTGTGTGTTTTTCCCGCGAAGCAACGCGACGGTGCCGGGCCGAAGAAGCAAGCACAAAGGCGCAGCGGGGCGGCGGGGCGGCCACGGCAGCCAACCGGGAGAAGGGAGGCAACACACCGGCGCGGGGAGCCCGGGCCGAGCATGGGGGCCCGGGGAGGGGAGCGGCGAGCGGGCAGGCAGCCCGCGCGTGCGCACACACACGCGCGCACGCACGCACGCACGCACGCACGCGCGCGCGCACGCGCGCACGCGCACGCACACACGCACACACACATACGCTGTTGGCGTCGCGGCCGCGCGCGCAGCGGCGCGGCGGAGCAGCGGTCGGGCGAAGAGACGCGCTCGCCCGGCCCAGCTCGCGTGGCGTGGAGGTACTAGAGGCTGGATCGGCCAACGGGGGGGGTCACCAGCGTCACTCGCGGGAGGGCAGGCGCGAGGGGCGCAGCGGGGGAGAGGGGGGAGAGGAGAAGACGAAGCACTGAGAGCAGGGCGCAGTGCAGGAGGCAAGGAGAGGGGGCGCAGAGGTGGGCCGCGGCGGCGGAGCGCGCGGAGGACGAGTCGTGCAAGACAGAGCGCGGGCCCTGCGTGCAAGGCAGACACAAAAGGATGAGACACGGATGAGACAGTGGCCGCCGTGTGGCGCAGGCGGGAAGCGAGCAGAGCAGCCGACGCCCAGGGCGCGAGCGGCCGACACGCCAGGGCGCGCGTGGAGTGAGGAGGAGCCCCCCAGGAGAGAGGGCGCAGGGAGTGCGCGCGCAGATACACACAATCCCACACACACACACACAAACGCACTCGCACAAACAAGCTCAAGCACTCTGCTCCTCAAGCGGCCGAGTGATGCCACTGCAGCGAAGGGCTGGGGCGAGCCACGTCCATGTTTTCTGCCCGCGACGACGCAGGGCGAGTCGCGTGCAGAGAGCATGGGCGACTGCTGCGCTAGACGAGCAAAACACGCAACCACACACGATCACACACACTATGTGTCGTCGCGGCCTCGCGCGCAGCGACGAGGCGGAGATGGTCGAACAAACAAAGTGCGCGCGCGTTTAACACACATGCACGCACGTACACACGCAGGCGCACACGCCCAGGGAACACCAACTGTGACGTCAGCCTGCGTATAACGATGGTCAGGCGTGTGCAGCCATTTGAGGTGACGTTCGCACCCCATGCGCAACACAGTAGCAACGAACCCGCATTCGTTTTGAAATGCGTGGTAGGGACTGCCCTGTAGGAACAGCGCGTATGCAAAGAGAGGTCAGCATGGATGAGGAACTCTTGCCACACAGTAGCCTCAGCAGAAGACTGCCTTTCAGATCGACGCACTGTTTGCGCGAGAATCGAACACGAGGTCGACATGCAACAACTGC